CCCCAAAACCCCAAAACCCCAAAACCCCAAAACCCCAAAGTAATATCCCCTGTTGAGATGTTTCAAAGATTGATTAGATATCAAATCTTTTTGGATCATAATCTTTAGCCGCCAATCCTTCTGGACAATCTGAATCGGATATTACCGAGTGAAGAACAAGAGCAGAAGCAATAGACTGAATTACTCCTCTAGATCCATGGCCTGTATTCCAGAATAGATTAGAGAATTTTGATGATTTTCCTATCAATGGAACATCATCAGCAGTGACAGGTCTTAAGCCAACCCAGTGATTGGCTTTTGATTCATCATAATCTTCTTCACTGACAAATTTTTTGGCAAGCTTTGTTAACATATCTTTTCTCCAAGGAATAGGATTGAGATTATTTCCATCTACATCAGCAAAGCCTGTAACTCTCACCATTCCTGTTGTATTATACCCGACTCTTGATACGCAAATAGTTTCAGGCATGTGAATATGAGTTCCATCTATAATATCTCTATCTTTGACAAAGATGTTAAGACTGTGTCCTTTAAATCCCATTATTGGCACTTTAAGTCCCATCATTTCACCAATATTGATCGATTCAGTTCCTGCACAGATGATATACTTATCGAAATTTTTAAGTTTCTTCACCCTTGCCATCCTGTCAGCATACTCTACCGCCTTGACATGAGTCTCCGTGCAAGTGATGGCTTTGACTTCTCCTTGGATGAAGGTGACTCCGTATTTATCAGAGAGTCTGAGCTTCATATAGTCCACAAATCTTGCTGAATTTAAGCATCTTATTGGAATTTGATATACAAAATCAGCATCTAAAGTTAAGGTTCATCTCATACTTCTTAAAACTTACCATATTTTTCAGGAGAGACAACTTGTGTATCAGGTACATAATTCTGAAAAAACTTTACAAGCTCTTTCTTTCCTTCAATTGCATCCTTGGTTAGTCCTTTATATATAGTTGTCAATATCTCAGGATGATATTCAACAACATCTGGATTGTTATCTGTACAATCTTTGATGAAATCATCAAAGAGGTTATAACTGGTAGCTCCAAGTTTGATCATGGCTGAGTTAGATTTCTCCACACACTCTTTGTCTCTACATTTTAAGTACTTCCAAGCCCAGAACCTGAAATGCTTGTCAAAGAGTAAAGAAAGCCTGAAATAACAAGTAGGAGTGGAGTTAAAAGTAACAATATCTTTCATAACTTGCTTAATGCTCATCGTGGTCCATGCTGGATAAAGTATAAAAGTAAGAGCATTCCCATTCTGCTCAGTCGCGCCTTTGATTGGGTTATCTTTCTCAATCACTGTGACATCATATCTTCCGTCCTTTGCGAGGAAATATGCTGAATTGATTCCCATGATTCCAGATCCGATGATTAGAATCTTTTCTTTTGACTCTATTTGTTCTGAAATTTTATCTTCATCAAGTTCTTCTGGGATTTCTTGAACAATCTCATGCTTTTTGTGTGGCTTCTTGTTCAATAGCCTTATAAGAGTGAAAGACATCTTGGTTTTAGTTTTAAAATATGTCAATTCAGATTCCTTGAAATGGGGTTTTGGGGTTTTGGGGTTTTGGGGTTTTGGGG